ATAATTTTGGAATGCCTTTCCCATAAACAACTCACTGAACCTAAACAGAGACATATAAACACATGGTGTTTGATAGTAAATTGAGAACAGGAAAATGCTGAAAGTGAGGAATATAAGAAAGGATAAAATCATAGAACTTTAGAGGTAGCATAAACATTTGCCCAAACTCTGTGTTTTATAGATAAGAAAACTGAGTCTCAGAAGTAAAGTGGTTTTACCAGAAGCATCTAGCTAGAGAACAATGTTGAGCCTAGCCCTTCTGAAATTTAGCCCCTTTGAAGAATAGTTATCATTGAAAGTCCCCGGAAAAAGTCACGAAACTCTTGTTCTTGCAGCCACTAAAGCTAGATAAGCATTTATTTGTGTTTTCATGATTAGATTTAATACTGGAAGAACAATTGAGTCTCTGCTCACTGCACTAATGACTTCAGTATTAGACCATACTGATAGCTATTAAAAGCATCTCTGCCCTGGGTTTGCTTTACTGCGAGAGGAAAGCATTATTAATGAACATTCAAAATGTCACTTCACCTAGTTCCGGGCCGAGCTTTTCCAGCTCGCTAGTGTTCTACAAGCCTTGGTAAAGAGCCAGGTGTGGGACAGCCTTTCCAGACAATCTTAAAAGTCGTAGTCAGTAAAACCCAAGGTTTTCCCCATGTGGATTCCTGCTGGGTTCACCTTGAGACAATCCGGGGGATGTTGACCTAATGTGTTTCTTTTTCTCTACCAAAATCCAGTTTACCACTCCTAAAAATATGGATCAGAACAGATGGGAAAGCCTTTCTCCATCTGCATTTCTTCTTTTATTCTCTCCTTCTTCAGAGATTGACTGCATAAAAAAGGAAAATAATATTTTTTGAGAACTTACTATGTATCAGCCATTGCACCTATATTATTTGATTTTTTTCTTATAGGTCTATAAAGGTCGAAATCATTTTCCACATTTTCAGATGAGCAAACATACGCTTGGATTAGGTTGTTTTTGTATGGTCCCTTGTCTAGGAGGTAGCAGATATGGAATTCAAAGCAGGTCTTTTTGACCCCAAAGTCAACACATACCAGTGGTTCTCAAAGCGTGGTCTTGGCATGCATCTGCGTCATCTAGAACCTACTAGAAATGTACATTCTAGGGCCCCATCCCAGCAGAAGCTTTGGGGTTGGGGTCAGCAATCTGCACTTTAACAAACCTTCCATGTCATTCCAATGCACGCCGAAGCCGGCAGTCTGGGCCCCGTTAATTTAGGTACTTACTTGTGAGAGGCAAGAAATCACAATCGTCTCCTTCTGAAATGGATCATTTGCAGCGTGGCTTGTCTCCTGACTCAGCTTTATCTGACGCATCTTAGTTTCCACCTCCTAATGTCACTCATCCATCTTCTATTTATGAATCATTACCAAAAGGAAAGTACACTCCATATATATATATGTGTATATACAGTTAAAGGTGTTACTTTATTAGGAAAACTTGGGAAAGCATTCAACTTATGATAAAGCCAGTCGATGAGAATAGTTTTGAAAATCTAGATTTACATGAATAAGTAGTTACACATGGTCAGAGAATCCTTTTTCTTAATGGCCTAGCAAATAGTCTATCCTGGAGAATGCTCCATGTGAACTTGAAATGAATGTGTATGCTGCTGTTATTGAGGGGAGTGCTCTATAGATGTCTGCCTCTCTGTTCTTTCATAAAGCCACTGCAGGAGTATAGAGGGCAGTGTATGTGGGAATCCTGGAGTCCCGGCGTGGATGCTCCTCAGTGGGGGCGGGGAAAGCAGGGATGGTTTTTAAAGGTTGATGCAGCAAAAGGCCTGAGTGTGAGTCACCATCTGGCCCTTAGTAAGATGTGACCTCCTACACATCATTTGATTTCTTCAGGTTACCATTTCCTCATCATTGGAAGGGAGATAATAATGAAAACAATCATGATATAAATGAGATTATGCATAAAAGGCTTTTGCAAACAGTGCGTGATTATTCTGACTCCTGCTTTTATTCCTTAGGCTCCCTCATGCTTCTTGCCCTCCCAAGATAGGCACTGAACTTGGGGGAACATGAATCATATGGCCCTAATATGGAGCCATCTATTAAGGAAAGAATTTCCCCAATCCTCTAGTCACCATCAACTTTTAGTATGTGAGATTTGAATAAGCCAAACAATGTCCTGTTTACCAAGCATGGCAACATACTGTATTCTCTAAGATTTTCAGACATGTACAGCTTTTCTAGCTAATTAGCATCCTCATTTGTGCAACGTTTTTAATTTATAATTTTGTCTCAAGTGTCCAATTCATATTTTCTGTCCCCTCCTCAGAAAACTTCATTTAAAATAAAACCACTTTCCCTTTTCCTCTGCAACACTTTTCACAAGTTTCTGCTGTCATCTGTCCAGCTGAGTCTTCATTTAGTTGTGACATGACTTGAGGGATGTCTTATCCTTTCCGGTATGGCAGACGATCTTTGCCTTGATTCATTCTACTGCTCCACTCTCATTCCTGAGTGCCAATACTATTTCTAGCGCTGCTTAGCCAGGATCCCGAGACTATGGACGGTCGTGTGCTTAGGGTGGGAAATGGAATAAAAGAACTCAGTGCAGAAATGCAATGTTCCAGGCACCGCAGGACAATGCAGAGAAGTGGTCACAGAGCTGCCTGGTGTGAGTTCTCCACAGAACCTCTCTAATTCTAATCCCATTTGGTTAATCTTGCTCTAAATAACTGGTATTAGAATTGCGATATAAATCAATGCTTTCACAGTCATTTAAAAATCAAAAGGGGAAAAGCCTTCAGGAACCCAATAATAGGCTTCATCTATAGCCCGATAACATAAAGGATGCAGGAGTGTCTGGAGGGGCATTCAAACAACGAGTAAGGAACCTCAGATTAGATAAGAGAAAGAAGACCAAGGGACCACCGATTTCTCTGCAAACACCCAACAAGGAAAGCTTGCACTAGATGGCAGCAGAGCCTCATGTTTTCCTTCCAAAATAAAAAGGGCCTTGAGATCTTGGGGGAAAACATCGCAATATTAATACACAAACACAACCATATTACAAAATCAGCCTATCTTATTTGACAGGCATCTCCCACCCTCTTCATACTCAGGATCAAGAAATAAGTTGGCATGAATCATTGTAACAATCTGATGTATGATCTGGCCAAAAATATGCCCCATATAAATAACAGCTAACATGGGCAGTTACTCGTAATTGGGATCATTATTTCTTAAAGATGTGAATAGATTTTTTGCACCCAGAGAGAGGAGGTGGTATTCAAGACTTCAAGCAGAACCCAAGAAGTTCAAGAGCCTGGAGCCCCTCACAATTATGTGTGAAGGTGTTCAGTTTCGAAGGTGACACTCAACATTGCTGATTTGGATCCTAATAAAGTAAAAATCATCTATGAGTCCAGCCCAGGATGGTTAGATTTTGGAAACGTTTTTTAATGGCAGAAATCCTTCTTGGTGACAAGCGTCATTAGGAATAGCAGTGCAAAGACAAGACGCCGTTTCACAAGGAGAAGTCAGCTCTTTAGCTCTTAAAAAAGATCAATTTTTCCTGATGAGGAGCTCCAAATGAGCTACTGGAACACTTAACGGGGCTCAGAAAGCGTTTTTTGTTCACTTGCTGAGTTACAGGTACCATCTGGTGTCTGATTTAAAATCCCAAAGGGGCTGACCCTCCCCTCGTCGACATGCCTAGTTCAGCCTAAAGAATAGAATTCATGGATCCCACTGGGAATTCCCCTGAAATTGAGCCATTCTGTCTTCTTATTCCGCCTCCAGGGAAACCCAAGGCAAAATAGGTCTCTGGAAATGGAAAATGCCAGTCCTCTCTAGGACTGCAACTTTCAGAGAAGCACAGTTGGCTCTTCATATTTAGAAGCTCACGTCTCTATGACAGAGACAAGAGTTTTGATGGTGGGTCTAATTGTTCTTGGTAGGCTATAAGGAAACTAAGGAAATCAGGTTTTGGTGCTTAAATTTCAAGATTGTAGCCTTTCATTTTCGGGATTCACCATCACATTCTTCTGTAGCCTAGAGACCACTGGGACAAGGGGAATCTAACAAAAATAAAGCAAGGTATAAAACATTATGAACATGTCAGTCTATTTAATCTCGAAGACTGACTGTGACAAAATGCTGGTGGAATGAAGCACCATGACCAGTGGCCAACAATGGGTCTTCCATTTCACCAGAATCCGTCACTGAGGTGGATGATACAGTCTTCAGTGTGGTGGGTATACTGTTTCCAGACACACAGTATAATCCTCTCTTACTAAGGTGTGGGGTTGCCATGTTCTGGTCCTTCCAATCCTGTAGTGAAATTACCTAAATCTTTTTGGTTAAGAATGGGGAATCCTTTAAATGTCTCTTTGTGAATACTAGCACTAACCTATGGTTTTTTTTTTTTTCTATAAACTTATCACCTTCCCCTAAAATGCTTTGCCTCACATGTTCCCCAGAGATTGCAGGAATACTTCCTCAGTTTGGGGATGTGGATGAAACCTAGTTCATTCTGTCAAGTTCTGCTCTTCTAGAGTTCTGTCCGTCTCCTACCTTCATCCCTTAGCACATTCTCAGGAGCACTATGTCTTCTCTCTTCAAGTCCCTGCCGAACCCAATGAATTTTACATAGAGTTTCACCTGAAAGAGAGCCAACATGCCATCTCTCAAAACCAGACCCGGCTATCAATTCTGGAGAGTCTTCCTAATTTTGGATTTAATCTGCACCTGAAGTTTGTGCACAGATAACCCTAACACAACCTAAGGCAGGAAACAGGAAAATCGTTGTAATTCCTTGCAAATACATAGTCATCTCGCCAAAGATGATTTCTAAAATTTTTTTTTAATGTTTATTTTTCTAGCTTGGAGTTAGAGCTTGTGCAGGTACTCTTTCCACCTGCATTTCTTTTCTAAGTTATTCAGGGGTCTTCTTTCTGGTCAGAGAGATCAGCAGATGGAGGCAGCCTCTGGCCCCTCTGAATCCCTCTAGTTTACTCGAGTTGCCCCGTTGCATCGCCTGTCCCGGTGTGTGGCGTGGGTGTCCCCTACCCCGGCGCCCAACAAGTCTCCTTTCTCCAGCCTGCGCGCTGCTGCGCTGGAGTCCGAATGGAGCGCAGCACGGCGCGGGGAGCCCAGGGCCCGAGGCTGGGCTCTGTCTAGGATTGCGTTGTGCCCAGCCTCCTTCCCCTCTCTGTGGGTAGGGATGGTTGAGTCCAGCCACCACGGCAGCGGCTCCTTGTGCCGCTAGCAGCCTGTCTTCTGCGCTCTCCGCCTTTCCTCTCTAGACTGGATCTCCTCCCCCCGCGCCCCCTCCCTCCCGCGGCTCCCACTCGCTGGCTCTCTCTCCAGCTGCCTCCGCTCCAGGTCTCTCCCGGCTGCGCGCGCTCCTCTCCCCGCCTCGCCCCCTCCCGCAGCCTCGCCGCCTTGGTGCCTTCCTGCCCGGCTCGGCCGGCGCTCGTCCCTGGCCCCAGACCCGCCAGCCTGGTGTCGGTGCTCGGAGTAGCTCAGCCCTGCAGTGGCTCGGACCCGATGCTATGAGAGGGAAGCGAGCCGGGTGCTCAGACCTGCAGGAGGCGTCGGATGCGCGGCCGGTCTGGGGACAGGGATCTCTCTCCTGCTCGCCTTGCCCTCTGGTGATTATTTGGCTCTGTTCATAGCCCTGCCGTTCCTCGGAGGAGACGGGCACATCTGAGAAGAGCCATCGGTGTCGTGTGCGTGTGGAATATCTGCAGACATGACTGCGTGGAGGAAATTCAAGTCGCTGTTCCTGCTTCTGGTGCTGCTGGTTCTGTGCGCGGGGCTCCTCACTGCAGCTAAGGGTAAGAAGGCTTGCTTGCTGCCGGGGGAGATGGGCGAACCCTCCGAGGCCCCGTTTGCGAACGCAAGTGTCTGTTTTGAGGAGGGAAGGGTGCCGAGTCGCTGGCATCTGCCGGGTGGCTCTCCATCGCGGACGTTTGGGGAATGCAATGTCCGGGAGCCGAGCTTCCATCGCGTTCTTCCCAACCCTCCTCTCCCCCGCCCCACCCCCGCCTCTCCTTCCCCCTCACTTGGGCTGAAACGAAATGTCTCTCTTTTCTCGGTGGTGTGGGTTGTTAGAGAGAGGGGAGAGAAACCCGAGTTGGGCTGAAACTGCGCTGTGGCGGGGCGGCGTTGCCTCCTTCAAGATGTGGGTACAACGGGTCAGGGTGGCTGGGGGTGGTTCCCAGGACTTTCTCCCCGGACCCAGAGCAGCTGGGCAAGTGGCCCTGGCCAAGCCGGCCTCGCAAGTTGGGTTCTCTAGGGGTTTGGGTTACCAACAGGCAAACCTGCCCGCCAGCTGGGCTCCCTGCACCCTGGCGCCCGTTCCGCGGTTCCTCCTTCCCCCTCCAGCGTCGTCAGGGAGAGAGGAGTAGCTACCTCGGTGAGCTCGCCCCCGCCTTCTTCTCCCCGGACTTCGTTCCGTGCAACTTGGAAGGAGCTGGCGAGGTGCGTGAGGAAAGCGGGGAGCCCTGGCTGGGATTCCAGCTCAGATATATTCGCTGTGGTCTCCGGGTTCTTCCCCTCGTTCCCCTCCCTGGTCAGGAGAAGGAGGCTCCCTGGGTAGCTCCTGGGGCTCGGAGCTCTGTGAACTTGGTTTTCTCCTTGAGATGAGTTAGGGAATGTTTTCCCCTAACTAGCCTACAGGCTGCAACCTCGGGGCTGGCAGGAGCTCCTGCACTTGTCTATTCTCTGGCAAAGAAAACAAGCTCCCTCTTGATTCCGAGAGAGAGTGTAGAGAGAGGGGATATTGATTGATTTTCACATCGGAAAGTGCCTGCCCCCATTTCCTCCTTTTAGCCTTCTTGGATGCTCTATCAGTCAACACCCATCGTCCCACTCCTGGGAATATATCTACAGAGATTTTTTTCTTTTCCTTTTTAAAGGATAAAGTACAAATCTTGTGGGGTTTCTTTTTTAATGGCCATTTGCTCTTTCCCACATAAAAATCCCCTTTCCTCTCTAGATTCTTCCATCTTCTTTTTCACCCATTTTCTGTTCCTTCAGTGTTCCAGATTCAAGGGTGATTGACAAGGCGAAGGAGGACTGTCTCTGGTTCCATTAGGAAACTCCAGATGGGCCTGGCCTGGAGAGAGGTGGAGAGAATGGCAGATTAGGCTTTCCCTCCCGGTGGCTTTCTCCACCTGGCGACCAGGGCCGGTTGAGGGCTGACCGCTAGGCACCAGCCCCTCCACAAACACACTCACCCTCGCAAAGGGTGTCTGTGGGAATGCGCCCCAAGATCCCAGGGAGCGCAGACGGTTGGTGTTCCTTGCCCAAGCTCCTGGTCGCTCGGGAATGAGGAGCCTCCCGCAGACACCGACTCTCTGCCTACCCGCCAGGCTCGGTCCAGACGCCCCGCCTCGGGCTCAGCTGTGGAGCCGCGGCAAAGGCACAGCCAGCAGAGCAGGGGCGGGCGGGCAGCGGCCTCCGGTCGCACTGGTCTGGCCGGGAGCCGAGAGGCGGAGCAGGAAAAGTGGAGGGCAAAGAGGACTCTCTCTGGGAGGTGTGCGCGGATGTGTGTTTCATGGGTCTGGGCAAGGGCTGGGGGAGAGGACCCGGCCTTGCCCAGCCAAGCTCAGGTGTGGAGAGGAAACAGCTACTACGCAACTCCACAAAACTTCCTGGCCTTTCCCCCTGCACTCAAAGCCCAGCTGGGCCCGGCCTCCTCCTTCCCCTGGCAGGCAGCTCAGTCTCTGAACGCACCATCGGTTCCCCACGGTTCCGCGCGCTCCGAGCGCCCTTCCCCCGCAATTAGCAGGGGTTGCTGCGTGGAGACGGCACTGGCCATGCCTGGGCTGCTTAATAATCCGTACACGTGTGTGCCGGGCGGATTTCGGCCCCACGCGGGTGGGCCTAGGAGCTAGGCTCAGGTGGGGGCGGGGAGGGAGGGTGTAGATGGGCTGGTGGTGTGCAGGGGTTGCCCGGGACAATCCCGGGGCCGACAGGGAAAGGGGCGCAAAATCCTGGGCGCCCCCCAAGCCTGGAAATCGCCATCTGCGCCCTGGGCGTTCCGGATCCGAGATGGAGAAGCCAAGTAGTGAAGTCCAGGGTCCCAGATCCTTAGCCTACCCGGTGCGATAGTAGGATATGTGTATGTGTGCCTGTATGTGTGTATTTGCGGGTGGAGGGGACGGGTTGGCTGCACTCCTTATGCTATTGACTAGCCCAGGCTGCGGAGGGTGCGCGCGGCTCCTTTATCACCCCAGCGGGGCCCACAGGAACAGGGGCGATTCTTCCCTGCGCCCCGCAGGGTCAAGTGCGAGCGCAAGGGACCAGATGGGAGTGGGCTGCAGGCAGGAAGCTGGTGACGCCAGCGCTGGAGTCGCCGTTTGTGTGCTCTGGCCGCTGGGGTGGGGTCGGGTCGCATTCCCCTTGCCCAGTAAAGCCCTGGTGGCCAAGGTCGGGCCTCTTCCTGGGGACGTGGGCATTCAGCCTCCGTGGCTCAGCCTCTCCAGGGGCGCCCCGGGGCGCCTGCGCGCAGTAGGGCTTTCCCGAGAGGAGCCCCGGGGAAGGCGCCTGCCACTGCCCTGGGAGCTGCGCCTTGTGAGCCCAGGTGGCGGCTCCCGCTGAGCCGAAGGCGGCGGAGAGTTTTTGATGCGTGGGGCGTAATTCGTGACCTGTTTGCGGAGTCGTGAAAGGCTGGAGGCAGCCGCAGTTGTGGTCACTAGAACCCGGTACCGTCGGTATCCGATCATCAGTTTCAGTTGACTGTGCTTTACGCTTCAATACAGCGTTGGGGGAACCCGGATTTCGCTTTTGATGTTTTCTTTTTGGATATTAATGGTTTTGTAAAGGTTGAGTCCCAGGTGTGCCTACCGCCTTAAAAGCAGCATATTTGCAGGGGCCGAGGGAGAGGGAAGAAAGCTTTACGTATTTTCATCTAGTAAATAGGTGGAGTAATTCATTTCGTGGGCTCTCAGATCTGCGCCCCTTTTCCGTGGCGGATCTACCGTCTGTTTGAGCAAACTTTGCTTCTTAATTGTTTTTTGCGTATATGCAGCAAGGACAATGAACTTGTTTGCAGGTTTTACTCAGAAAGCGTCCTAAAAAGCAGCACATGTAATAGTAGCCCTGTGATCTCACCAGAAAAAGCCAGAGAAAGGTGGAGTGTTTATCAAAATTCGCACTTCTAACATTGACTAACCCACTCAGCAAAGAGGTTTAAGCATGCATTGCCAAATGTCCACAGAAACCACGTAACTCACACGGGAAGAGAGAGAGAGAGAGAGAGAAACAGAGAGAAGCCTTCCCAAACCTGCATGCTTCTGTATGAATTACCTTTTAGCAATTCATATCACGAAGGATGCTGAGACCTTTCATTTGCTGGCCAGGTTCCTTTATGGCCAGGCCGCTCCACATATACTCTCTCCTGGAAAAGCCAGGGACTCCTGGGAATAAGCAGCTTTCATAGAAAACCCCTAATCCATCAATTACTAAAAAGGTGGACCATTTAACAGGAAGTTAATATTTCTGCATTCATGACTTGCTTAGCAAATCGCGTATACTTTTTATTGCGTTGGCAAGGGGATTAATTACTTTTTCAATTCAGAACTGTTCAGTCGAGCGCTATAAATTCAGCTAGTGCTTCTGCAACACCTATATAGTTCTTAGTATAGGATTTTAAGTCCTTCAAAGGGTAAGCCAAGGGGAGAGTTTCTTCCTGAGTGGCAGGTTTTGTAAACTTGACTAGTAGGAGAATGACATCTCATTCAACAAGTGCAGAGAACCAAATAGCAGGAAGTAAAGTAATAGTAGAATTCTCCCAGGTCTCAAGCATCCCCAGTAACACAGGCCTCAGAGGAAGGGCAATCGCGACTTTTATATTGGCTCTCAGCTGGCCAATCATGCTAAGGAGACTGACACAACTACAGTGCTTAAAAGTTCCTGCAGGCAAACAGCTCCTCCTGGGGGCAATGCTCCCTTAGTCTTCAGTTTATTGTCTCAAACAAACACCAGCAGAGCTTTGAAAATGTCAAGAAAATGGTTCAGCTTCCTTTAAGAAATAGATAAACAAAGGCTCAGTGGCCGGTTCGTGCTTATTGCAGCCAATCCAGCAAATCCAGTGTAGACATTTCTAAGCTGTCAAAATGCAAATGGCATATTAAATACTCTGTGCTCTACTGAATTCTAAATATGCCTCTGGTAGATTTTCTGCTGAGCTCATAGTGAAAATAAGCCACTACAACTTGCATACATACAATTTAAACAGACTTTCCCTTTGGCCTTTTATATTTCTTCTGGTTAGTTTCCTTTCCCTCTTAAATTAAGAAGAACTTGAATGGGTACTCCTTGCACTGAATAGATGACAAAGCTATGTCATCTTTTATTTTAATATTATTTGTTTAGCTAATAAATCGGAGGTAATCTGAGTCAGGTGTAGCTATTATACAGCCTACAGTATTTGTACCTTTGAGTTGCATGGGCTTATTTAAAAGCCTGTTGGCTTTTTGCCAGTAGAGTAGGACCTTGGATTGCTGGTCTAGCAGTGGTAACTGATAAAATCAAACCAATTCCACTCTGTGGTCTGGCCACGGTAACAACAGAGGTGGCTACTATTTGAAACAGTGGAACTGGCTTGGATGTGCCACCTGGAGCAAAGAAACAGACACTTTGCTACTTTGGCTGGATTGAAACTAATTAGTCCTGAAGGAAATCAACCCTTTGACCTTGCCTTGAATTGTACAGCCACTAGACACAGCTCACTGGATGTCCCTTTCAGAACAAATCATCGGTATGAAAATCAACTAATTCTATTTAGTTGTTTGCCTAAGTGCAAGGAAATAAGTTTCTTCCAAATTGA